TGCGCTGGGGCGCTGTGCGGGCACTGGCGCGCGCTGGCAGCAGTGCACAGGGGCCCGGCAGACAGGTAGGGTTTCACATAGGACCGACCGTTTTCAAAATTTACTCGACCGATTTAAATAAAATTTTACACATTAAAATAGACTCAGAATGGCACATAATCACAAGGTTTTCAGATTCAACTCTTCAATTTAACACAATCAAACAATTTTTACAAAAAGACGATTGAAATCTGAATTTTCTAGTTCACCGAGCAATCCTTTGAATTTTTCAGTAAAATTTGGACACAACACACATTTCATCAAATTACTGACCCTCACCAAAATTCACAGAAAAATACCAAGTATTCGATTTTTAATGAGTTTTCCAAGTTTCAGGTCAGATTTTCAAATCGGCAATTAACATAGCTACAGACCTTATTTTAACTTGAAATTTTTACACGGCCTATAACATCATCAGAGGGTTATACAGTTCAAATTGGGCAGCAATCGGACGAGTATACGAATTTAGATGATTTTTCGAAGTTTCAGCAACACTACACGATTCAAAAATGCACAACAATTAAATCAATCAATAATTTCATCTAAGGCCTTCATCATAAGGCCAAAGACTTCAAGTGTTCCATAGATCCACAGCAATAAACACGATTTAACACAAAAACGAAATCGAATCTCAATAATGAAAAAATCACGAGTAAAATCAATTATGTATTAAACTTTAACACAAGATCTCCCAACAAGGCATCAATACATAGCATAAACATACTAAAATAATAAGAATTAACAGCCTTGTACCGTTCTCGGGATAAATCGCACGAGAGAGGGATCGAAAGGCCAAGGGGATCGCGGACGCGCGGGGTATCGGGCCTGCGGGGGCGCTGGCGACTTGCGCGGGCTGCCGGGGCGACTCGCGAGCTTCTGCTGGGCTCTGGGTGGCGACGGGGAGGCGCGTACTGAGGCCTGAGGTGCTCCAACGACCGGGACGCGTGGCCTGGTGCGACGGAACGGCTGAAAATAAAATGAAAGCCGAGGGAGGGGGAGGGGACGAGAGAGAGATCGGGGAGAGAGGGAGGGAGATGGAGAAAGGCGGCTAGAAAAAAAAATGAGGAGGGGAGGGATTATCTTCTCCCATATATAGGGCTAGGGCTTGTGACTTACCATACAAGTCACTTGCCAAAAAATCCAACAACACACAAAAGGAAAGAGGGGAAGGGGGCGGATGCCTAGGCGCGGCTTGGCTCACGGGTGCGCGATTCGCGGCTCGAACATGCTCGGTTTGACGAAATAAAATTACAATAATAATAATAATTAAAATATTTAAAATAGTATTTAATATTTAAAATAAAATACCACAATTAATATATATATATATATAATAAACACAATTTGGCACATAAAATCATTTAAGCATTTAGACAAATAACATTCAATAATAATAGCCACAAATAATGATAACAATAATAATAATAACAATAATCCAAATTATTCATAAACGAACGGGGCGTCACAATTTACTTCTCCATCTACACCACGTTTTCGCTTGTAAACCCATTTACAACCTATGGGTATAATACCTTGTGGTGGTTCAACCAAAGTCCATACTTTGTTTGAATACATGAAATCTATTTCGGATTGCATAGCTTCTTGCCATTTATCTGAGTCAATGTCCAACATTGCCTCATCATAGCTTATTGGATCATTATCCAAAAGGAGTCCCTCTTCATTGTCTTTTGACAATAGGTATAACCTTTCAGGCGCACTAGAAATCCTTTCGGATCTCCGAAGAGGTTGTGTTTCAGATGGTCCAGTCTCTACTGGTATGTTATTTGTGGTACTTAGTGGAATTTCTTGTGGTTCTTCATTAAGTTCTACAACTCCGCCATTCTTAGAGAGACATTCTTCCTCTAAAAATACGGCATTCCTCGAAACAAACACCTTTTGTTCAGAGGGGTCATAGAAATAGTACCCAATAGACTCTTTTGGATACCCCACAAATTTGCATAAGATGTACCTCATATCCAACTTACCTCCCACTAACTGCTTCACATAAGCAGTACAACCCCATACTTTTAAATATTTGTACGAAGATGTTTTGCCATACCATATCTCATATGGTGTGCTGGGTACAACTTTACTTGGCACTCTATTTAAAATATGTGCTGCTGTTTCTAAGGAATAACCCCAGAATGAAAGAGGTAAATCAGTGGAACTCATCATCGATCGAACCATGTCTAACAATGTTCGATTCCTCCTTTCTAAAACCCCATTGAGTTGTGGAGTTCCAGGAGGTGTCCACTATGAAATAATCCCATTATCTCTTAAAAATCAAGAAACTCATTGGTTAAGTATTCACCACTTCGATCCGATCGAAGAACTTTAATACTACGACCAATTTGTTTCTCCACTTCATTTCTGAATTCTTTGAACTTTTCAAATACTTCAGATTTGTACCTTAATAAGTATACATAACCATACCGTGAATAATCATCAGTAAAAGTTATGAAGTATTGGTAGTTCCCCTTGGCACTAACATTTAGTGGTCCACAAACATCTGTATGAATCAAATCCAACAGACCTTTAGCTCGCTCCACTTGTCCTACAAATGGTGATTTAGTCATTTTACCTTTAAGACATGACTCACAAGTAGGCAACCTTTCCTCTCCCCTAAGGTCGAGTTTTGGTCCCAATTTGTGAATCCTCTTTTCAGATATATGACCTAATCTAGCATGCCAAATTGCGAATGAACTATGATTATTAAATTTCCTTTTATTTTGTTGAATAGTTAGGATGGGACTTTGTGGTGTAATGGTATATAACCCATTTGTCAAATTTCCGGAATAAATAAAAGTTGTATCTTTGAAAATGGAACATCTTCCATTCTCAATTACGAACTTAAAACCTTCTCTATCCAGTGTTGGAATAGAAATTATGTTTCTTATTAAATCCGGAACATACAAACAATTTGTAAGACAAATCTTTACATCATTATTTAAAGCTAGATAAACAGTCCCAATTGCTTTGGCAGCAACCTTTGCTCCATTGCCCATCCTTAGGATTGTTTCATTATCTTCTAGCTTGTTACTTCTTGCCATCATCTGCAAATCATTGCAAATATGTGAGCCACAGCCGGTATCTAATACCCAAGAAGAATCGTTAACTGATAAGTTAACTTCAACAAAATAAATACCTGAACTCTTCAGGCTAGCAAGATACTCCTTGCAGTTCCTCTTCCAGTGCCCAGTTTTACCACAATGATAACATTCATGATTCGACTGAGGTTTAACCTTTTCTTTGTTCTTCCCTTTGTCGTTATTTGCCTTCTTATTAGGTTTATTGGGAACCTTTCCCTTCCCCTTCCTTTTCTTAGACTTTACAGTCTTTGATCCAGAAGAGGATCCAACAAGAAGTACCGGCTTATCCTTTTTAATCGTGGATTCAGCCGTCTTTAACATATTCACTAACTCAGGGAGAGAAGTCTCCATGTTATGCATGTTAAAGTTAACGACAAAGCTGTCAAATGACGGAGGCAGAGATTGCAGCATGAGGTCCACATAGAGTTCATTATCCATAATGACTCCTAGGGACGAGAGCCTTTCAACAAGAGCTATCATCTTCAGCCCATGATCATAAACTGAAGAGCCCTCGGTCATACGACACCTGAAATGTTCTTTAGATATCTGATATCTAATCTGCCGCGTCCTATCACCATACAACTCTTGTAAGTGTAGGAGTATTTCAGAAGCATCATTCAGTAATTCGTTTTGTCTCTGCAACTCATTAGACATTGATGCTAACATGTAGCACCGAGCTTGGAGGTTGTCATCTTTATGACGTAAATACGCTCCATATTCATCCGAAGTCTGATCTTCGGGTGGAGGAGGAGGAGCTGTATCCAATACATAATCCCTCTTCTCCGATTGAAGAATAATTTTTAGGTTCCTTAGCCAATCGTTAAAATTGGGTCCAGTTAATTTGTTTTGTTCAAGGATACTTGCAATTGGATTCTTAGCCATTTAGTAGATTGATCTACAAAACAACACACGAAGCAGAAAATAATTAGACTATGGAATTCATATTCATTTAATATTAGGTCTTTAAATATTAAATGTCTCCCACTAATTTCATTAAAACCCTATTTTAATTATGAAAATCTAATTTCCATAGTGGGCTTGAAGTCCAATAAAAATATTCCATATCCCAAGAATATGAGTACGCATGGAACATTTATACTGGTAGTCAACTTTTTGACAATTGTATCAATATACAACCTTCAAAATATTTTGCCTCACCTTTCCTTATATACCTCAAGAATATGACCGTATATATTACTCGGTGTCAAATCAAACCCATCAAAACTTTCATGATAACGGTCCACCAGAGTGTCCCACGACTCATGGTCAACACAAAGAGGAATCCGTCTCACAAGTATCAATATACGTAGTAGGGATCACAGCTTTCGACACAAAACCACCCCACGACTCATGGTCAGTGATAGAGCATCGTAGCATCTCATGTCGTCTACTTTTTGATGGAAGGACTGGTTTAATAAGTCCAAGCTTATTTTTATCCATTATTGATATGATATGAATTAATCTTATTAATTCTTTAGGGTTTTGTGATCTCATCGTTTACCATCTTTACGTTTATTTACCATTTCATCCATCGCATGAATCGAAAGCATAAATAAACCTAACATACATCTAATGCATGCATACGGTGGGATGATCATGTCCTTACCTATACGACCCATTCGAGCCAAAATGGGTCTATGCCTATGTACGTGATAAAACAAATAAATAGAACTACTTCTATTATAATTTATTTTATCTACCCGTACAAGCACAGGCCTTCGAGATTTACAACTTGTAAAATTACCCACACAAGCGTGGGCCTTTCGCATCGAACTGTCTCCACCTTTGATCTAATGTTTCTAACGATACAAAAATTTAAAATTTTACAAATCAAATCTCAAGAGACTCGCAGGTCTCGATAAATTACATTCATTCAATCGTATTGAATAATATACAACATTCAACCATATTGAATAAAAATGCAAACATTCAATCATATTGAAATAAAATGCATCCATTCATTCATTATGTGTAAAAGGCTCATGATCATCCCTAAATTAAACCATTCATCACATGAATAAATTTAATTTTTTTTTTTTTTTTTTGATCAAGTCGCGACTCGCGAATTTCGCGAGTGCGAATCGCGACTCGCGACTTTCATGTCGCGACTCGCGACCTCGTCTCGCGACTCGCGAGTACAACAGAGGCTGATCAGGCTCTTCTCCCCAAAAACTCGTGACTCGCGACAATACTCGCGATTCGACTCGCGACTCGCGACTCAACTTGCGACTCGCGACTCGTCTCGCGAGAAACTGGAGCTGAAAAAATAAATTTCGCAACTTGTAAAATACATGTCGCGACTCGCGACTTAAAATCGCGACTTATTTATTTATTTTTTTTATTTTATAATTAATATGTTTATCACATAAACATTTAATTATCTTGTTTATCTCATAAACATTAACAAATCAAAATCTATTTTTAAAGATGATAACCGTGGCTCTGATACCACTGTTGGGTTCGCCTGTACCGTACGAGCTATATGCAGCGGAATTTAAAAATTTTTAAAACATGTATTTAACAATTAAATACATATCTCGTACATACATATGGCGAATTAACAGATCGTCATCTTTAAAAACATGTAATAATACAAATTTTGATTTGTTTGATAGTAAATACAATATTTACCGTTAATCTTGAACTCCTTCAAAATCGTAGATGGATTGAGGAAATCGGTTTCCGGATTGGTAACGTCACTTCACTTCTTGTGCTTGTGGTTACTCGCTTTAGGAATCCACGTGTCTTCCCTCTAAACGTATCCACCTTTCGAAATCTGGTTCCGACGATAGCTTCTTCGCTAGTAGAAACTTCTCGATTTTTCAATAGTATAGAATATATATATTTTATAAGGAAATATTTCAAGAACTGTTCTTGATATTACACTCAACTCTTTGAATGTGTTTCTCTCTTGGAAGAACTTTGGAAAAATGACTTAGCAAATTTTATGAAAACTCTT